GAATATAAATCCTTCCATTCCCCACTATCCAGTCAGAGCTAAAGAAGCTTCTTGGATGAGAAGCGAAACGTCTTCAAAAGAAAAAAACAGAAAGTCCAGTTGCCTCCTGGAAAAGCACCTTTGGGACAATAACTCAAGCAAGTGTTTTTTTTTAAAACTTATCCAAGGTGAGATATATCCCCTTTTTAGGACTCAGTGCCATGCCCAAACCTGGAATGCCATGCCAGAGGATCCATATTGAAATAATAGGTAAGTCAAAGAAATCAAATCAAACCAATTTTTAATTTTAAGTTGAACAAAAATCCCATTAATTTATTTTAAATGTGATTCTTAACATCACACCCTATTGGGGTTAATAACAATTTTCCTCATTTTGTCACATTAAGGAGCTTGATCTGACTGCAACTTTGAAAGGAGTCTGGGCAGCATCAGACATCCCACGTGGAAGGAGTTTTATTTTTTGAAGTCCTGGCACGAAAACAGGTTGAAGAGAAACCATGTTCATTTTTAATCTCCTGATTCAACCATGACATCTTTGGTTTTGTAATGAATTTTAGCACTGGGAGAAAGCCATGAGACAAAGGTTAACCAGTAAGTGAAGCCATTATTATATAATGTAAAAAATACATTATATAATGCTTGGTTTATTTATTTAGCACGTGAAGCATGAATAGAACAGATAAGCAATTCTCCACACAATCTCTTGAATAAACTAATGTTACTCCCAATGAAAACACTGAACAGGCAGCTATGTTCTTCAGTTGACCTTTAAATCTAGATTCTATCTTTCTTAAAGGGATTTCAAAAGGGCTTGAAGGAGGACTTCATGCTTACATCATCTGTGCTCTTAGTTATCTCAGATGTTTTCACACAGATGTTAAGCCTAGATTGCCACTGAAGCAACCACCCTAAGACCACCCAAATGGTTTTGCCCAATCAATTGTATAGACCAGGGATCAGCAACCTGCAGCTCTGGAGCCGCATGTGGCTCTTTCATCCCTCTGCTGAGCCTGCCTGTCGCCAGTTGGCTCCACAATTGATAGAGCTTTTGGTTAGGACAGGTAGAGGGAAAAGGACGCTGTGCTAGGAGATTCTATGGTGGGGATAGGTGGTGGGTACCAGACTTCTGATTGGCAGAGGAAAAAGGACACCGTGCTAGGAGAAGACTCTGTGGTGGGGGAACCGGACTTCAGTCGGCTCCAGAATTGACCGGGGGGCTTCCGGTTAGGATCTTTGTGGCTCTTTGAGTGTTTAAGGTTGCCGACCCCTGGTACAGACAATCACCAGAAGACAATCACCTTATGCAACAGTCAGTTAAGAGACGGTGAATTTCAAGAGTCTGGCCATTTCACCAAGAGCACAACGGCACCCCAGAAATACCTTTGCAGCCACTTCAGCGCTGATCTCCTCTTGGGTTTCGGCAAGTCGTTTTTTAGCCAGCTCTGTTCTTCTATCACACTCAGCAATGAAAGATTCCAAGTGGTCCATTGCCTGATTGTATAGAAACAGTCAGTGCTAATGTTAGAAAGCCATTCTTGACATGTCCTTATTTCAGTGATAAAAAAAATCAAGGGATGAAGGCAGCATGAAAGGCCCATGTGAAATTGATTCTCTTCAATGCAGAGCCTTATTTCTCTTTACTTCTTGTTGTCACTTTAAAAAAAAAAGGTAATTCAAGAGATGGAAAACAAGAGATTTTCTTCTGAAGAACAGGAAATGTTACGTATAAAACTTTTAACCTAACAATGTTGCAGCACCCTTATCACAACTTTATAATATTGGTTAAGGACTGACTGAACACAGCAACAATAGAAAGATGAAAAACAGTGAAACAAATAAAAGGGAATAATAAATAAAATAACATAATAAAATATCACTCCCAGTGACAACATATCACATGAGCCATTTAATGGGCTGCATCCCACTCTGTGTTTAGTTGTACTTTTTTTTATTCATCTCATTACAATAAAGTGTGTAACATTAAGTAACAATCTAGCAGCCACAGATCTGCCTAGCTATGAACCTGCTAAGTGTTTTGCACAGGCAACACAACAGCACTTATGCCTACTGCAATAATGCTACATAACAGAGATAATCAAACGGCTGCCCGTCCTTGTATCTGTTTATTATTATCAAAATGGAGAGCACTTACATCCAGCTCAAAGAACAGGTCCCTCTCTTTGCTTGCAATCTCGTAATCTGCTCTCAGGGCCAAATCGTGAATCTTTGTGCACTCTCCAAGGTCCATACGCTATTGAAGAAGAAGAAGAAAAGGATAGGAGACAATATCATCTGAAAATCCATCGTATCACCACATGCAAAAGATACAACCACTCGTGATTAGCAAAGGAATCAATCAGCTGCTCAATTTGTTTCATATTCCAAAGAGTATCGTACAGAAAGGGTATCCCACTACAAAAGAACCATAAACATATTGGGGAATCTTAATACTTCAGAAATGTTTTTCTACACAAACTAGGGGACTGTAATTTCAACCAAAATACAGGATCATAGAGCTCAATAATTTTATAGAGTTCCTTTGGGATGTATACTTCTCATTTTTGATCATCTAATTAGAGTACTGGATGATATATATATATCATCCACTACGTATGTATGTATGTATGTATACACACACACACACACACACACACACACACACACACAAACACTTTTGAAAATGACTCCAAAGCTTCATGTAACCCAAACAAACAGCATCGTATTACAAAGGGCTGGTTCTCTCTTCTGGGTTGCAGTTCNTCATCGTTCCTATCACCCATCTCCTCCCACTTAGGACTGCATGATTGTAGCTTTGTGGCTTGTATCCTTTAGATTTATGTTGATGCTGATTGCTTCCTGATTGCTTATTTGTACCCTCTGACTATCGTTAAGTGTTGTACCTTACGATTCTTGACGAATGTATCTTGTCTCTTACATACACTGAGAGCATCTGCACCAAAGATAAATTCCTTGTGTGTCCAATCACACTTGGCCAATAAATAATTCTATTATTAAGACAGTAAGTTTTAAAGAGCAAAAGAAAGCTCAAGCATTGATTTACCTACACCAATATTGTGTCCACCCAATTGTTAAAAACGAAAACTTTCCAGAGTGATATTAAGACACTTTTCATAGAAGAGTACTTTACTCCTGAGTAACTACGGCCCTTACCCGCAACTGGTCCAATTTCTCACGGATCTGAATGAAGCCCAAATGCAATTTGCCCCCAAAATGATCAGCAAGGCGACGGTCGTTGTCATGGAGACCGAGGTATGCAGAGCAGACCTCACAAACACGCAGTTTCTGTTGCTGGAAACTGGAGGCAGGCATAGAATTGCGGTATTCCTCCTATCGAAGATCAGAAAGAGGTCAAAATGAAAACTCCCATCGCTCACCTTTCTGTCTTCCTTCCCCGACGACTCATCATTACCTTGCCTAATGGCAACACATCGCAAATAATACTAGTGATGCTAATCTAATCTAGGAAGCTGCATTAGTCACAAAGAAGTTAAAGGTTCCCCTCGCACACGCCTGCTAGTCATTCCCGACTCTAGGGGGCAGTGCTCATCTCTGTTTCAAAGCTAAAGAGCCAGCACTGTCCGAAGACGTCTCCGTGGTCATGTGGCCGCCATGACTCAACACCAAAGGCACATGGAATGCTGTTACCTTCCCACCAAAGGTGGTTCCTATTTTCCTACTTGTATTTTTTACGTGCTTTCAAACTGTTAAGTTGGCAGAAGCTGGGACAAGTAACAGGAGCTCGCTCTGTTACATGGTGCTAGGGATTCAAACTGCCAACCTTTCTGTTCGACAAGCTCAGCGTCTCAGTCATTGAGCCGCCGCGTTGTCACAAGGAAGATAAACATTAACAATTTCTCTCTCTGTTTTTCGACAGAGATAATAAACCTGTCAGGTCCCAGATATTTCTACTGGGACGCCAGCATTCTGGTGGGAGGGAAGGAGGACTGGAGAGAACTCTATACAAAGTTTCTGTTTCCTGTATTGCTGTACTGTGGGAGGGGTTTGGTTAGCACTGCTTTAAATTGCTGTTTTTAAGTGGGAAGCTTTAGTTCCTGCCTAGATCTCTTGCTAGCCTTTCAATAAAAATTCCTTTTGGAATGACTTCAGTTTCAAGAGTCCTGCTTTCTTGGGAATATTGGAGAGGCAAAGCCTGACAAAACCCGTTCTGCTTGGCTAGTTATAGCCTAGGTTTTCTTGGGCTAAACAAAGCCGTAAATCCAAGCAGTAAACCTGCACGTTCAGTCCAGAAAGAACAAACCTCCGCTTCTTTCTTCTTTGCGCGGACTTTGTCCACTTCCATCAGGATCTTCTGGGACTCATCCACATTCCCTTCAGCTCCTAACTGCTCAGCTTTAGCCAGGAGCTTCCCAATGTCTTCGTTGAGTTCGTGCACTTTCTCTGCCTAAAGAACAGGACAGGAGTTTGGGGTCATTTATTTGATTGAAGAAAATTTATGTGACTCACTCTCAAGTGATTCCAGGCCCAACAATATAAAACAATAAAAAAAGCAATCTCATCAAGGAATGAATTTCTAGAGGAAAAATTCCACATTACAGGAACCAGGAGCACTACTAAGGTGACGCTGAGGACACAGATAAACCTCCAAGTGGCCTCAACGTCCCTCTAAAAGGATGCAAATGACCAGCTGNGTTGGATAGCCATTTGTCTGAAACGGTATAGGGTTTCCTGCTTAGGCAGGGGGTTGGACTAGAAGACCTCCAAGGTCCCTTCCAACTCTGCTATTTTATTGTATTATTTCACTGTGTCAGGAAGCTGCATGCTTCTCCTGTGAGTTCCCTCACCGTTGTCCCACACGTTCTTCTCGGTCTCTTTCTTCTCTCCTTCTCAACCGGTCTTGATTCCTCTTCTCCTGTTTTTCAGCTACGGTTTTCTAGAACGAGACAAGAAACGTTGTCAAATGTTTCCCACAGATACCAAGGAGGAGTCATTCCAAGACAATTGGTGACATCATCCTCTGTCCCCCAAATAATAAGTGACACATTAAACTTAAAAGCAGTAGCAAAAGGACGGGTTAGAAAAATAATCCAGCTACTTAAAAATAGCACCAAAAATTAGTATGTAAAAACTATTTAAGATTGCTCCCTGAATGCACATCACTATCTCAGTACATTGCGACATTATTATATCCTGATGTATTTCTAATATATTGAGTCCATAAATCTCAATAAGTAAGATAATGTTCTCATCAACACCTTCAGACTAACACCTTTACCTAACAACCAATAAGCAAATTAGGAGAGTTGCCAAGATTAATTTGAAAACGGCAACGTATTAATATCAAGGCAGGAAGTAATGGGAGAAAAAAGCACCCATGTGAGAATAATTTGCCAAAATATCAAATACTCAAGCATGAAGAAAATGACCCATGAAAAACTCCTCAGTTTTTGAGGCACCAAAAAACCTCAGAATCCTCTGCTAGAGACTAGCATTTTGATACCAACATTAATGTAACCTTGATTAATCTTTAATTTCTTTACCAAGAAAGAACATAATGCGTCTCACTCTCCGCTTGTAGAGTCCAAAACTGGAGGCAAAACAGTGACAGAAGCATCAACCACACACTGATTTTACAAGTTTATTGCCTGACAAAGGGTTGGTATAATATACAGTACCTTAAAAGCATCCCCTCAAAATGAGACGAACCGGAAGTGTTTATTTAGAATAATAATAGATAAGATTTCCCTGTTGATAATGATAAAGATTCTGATTTCAACCTACAGATTTATCCCAGGGAAAAAGGCAACAATAATTAAACAGGAGGGACAAATTCGCTAATTCCAATAAACAGCTCTGACTCACCTATTTACTTGATGACAACCATGGAACTACAAAGAGCATCTCACATCAATGAGGTCAATTCACACATAAGTTACAGCAGTGTTTCTCAACCTTGGCCACTTGAAGATGTCTGGACTTCAACTCCCAGAATTCCCCAGCCAGCATTCGCTGGCTGGGGAATTCTGGGAGT